TTTTGCATTTTTCAAAGAGATTTTCTGAAAAGAAATAAGTTGAATGTTGGTTTAGTAGACTTCCAAGAAAGAGAGGTGTGTCTTAATGGACAACTTAAGTACCTTGTCTTTCCTTAGCCAAAGTGTTTCCCAACTAGTTTTATAAACTTCCAAACAAAATCCCTTAAACAAAAATTATGAAAAAAAAAACAAATTTACTAAATTAAAATAACTAATGAAAATAAAATAAAATAAACAATAGAAAAAATAGAGAAAAAGAAAAGGTTAGTGATAAACAAAAATAAAATTAAAATAACACAAATAAAATAAGAACCAAAATGATAAAAATTATAACTGTGTTCCCGGGTAACGGTGCCAACTTCAGTCTTGCTAAGTTAGTAGCCAACAAAATAGAAAAGATAAATTGAACCTTATGTCTATTCTTTTACCTTTTATATCAAGTAAAAAGCTAATTAACCAAAGTACATTCTTGATTAATTCTTGTTAAAGATTTCACCTTTCATCAAAGTACACTCTTAATTATTGGCAAAAACTCATTCGATCTCATGAAAGTTTCTAACTTTAGTCAAAGTAAATTCTCAATTAAAAATAAAAACTCTTGGACTCATATGATTGATGTGTTATGTAGATTTAACATCATGATAAATAACTTTAATGTAAAATCATTACTTTTACTTGATTAAGAATCAAAAGACATAGAAAAAATAAATCACAACAAGAAATCAAAAGGACAAAGAAATTTATTCATCTAACCTCATAATCCAATTAAGAAATTACACTACAATAAACCCCAGAGGCTTAAGAGTCCGTGAAATGTAGAAATATCATGAAAATAGAAGAAGGGATGGTGGAAAACATGATAAAAGAGAGGGTGAACGAAATTTGAACCCCAAAGGATTCCTAAGCTTCCTAATGTGTTTCCGTAAGTCTTTTTATATAGAAATTAGATTGAGCTTTGTTTCAGGCTTTTCTATTGTTGTAATCTTCTTTATAATAATTTAATTTCCTCAAATTATCTTCTAAATAATCCAATATCTTCAAGATATATTTAATTGTTGTGGAAATCTAAATATATTTGAGATGATATTTACTAGATTAAAAAAGATTTGGAAAATATTATCTTTTGATATTTATTGATATAGTTAAATAAGGTCATTATTTAACAATATCAAATAAAATATCTTAAGATATATTTTTTCGAAATAATCTTTAATTATAAACATTTATCAATTATCAAAACCCTTTTAGTTAGAAAAAATAGAGAAAACCGCAAGATCCAATTTCTTTTGTCTGTTCCTCTTTTTGACTTAACCAAATTTCTTCATGTTTTCATGTTATGCTTGGATTGACTTCTTGTGGTCTTGATTATTTTCTATTCTTTGATTTATCTTTAAGGTGTTATGATACTTTAAACAATTTATTTTCATACATTCATGAGCTTAACTTAGTTGCAGCTGCACTAGCATATCTCAAAATATCCAAAGAGCATTCATGCAACTAAAAAACTATTTTTATCATGTTTTTGTATCACATGCTCAATAAACCCAATTATAAAAAATCCTAATTAAAATCTTCTATTAAAGTACAAAAACTAATTAGGTATCCAATATTAAAGGCTAAATTATGGCATAAATATGCGTTCATGAGTCCTAAAGATCCAAATGCTCTTCTTTATCATCGTTCGTCCTAGATGTCTATTCTGTCAATTTGGGAGGCTACTTGTAGAATGTACTTTGATGCCAAAGTAAATAAAGATTCGACTATTCAAGCAATTAATGTGTATTAAATGTAATCATGTATCTCTTTATCACAAACTTATATTGATAATTTTTAGAATAGACTTTGGATTAACTAAGATCTAATCATGGTCCAATTGCTAATAATCACACTTTGTTATAGGTAAATTAGTATTAGCTGTAATTTCTTAGTACTCATATTGTTTGACCCATCGATGATAATAATTGATTATCCAATCATACAATATAATTATTATTAAAATTATATTTTTATAAGTGTATATTTTTAGGTTTAAACCTCGGTTGGTCTTCATTTTTGTATGTAAATCTCAGTTGGGTCCTCATATTTGCAAGCGTCTCAATTGGGTCATATTTTATGTAAAAATGAACCAATTTTACCCTAACCTTAAGTGCTCTCAAACGACGTTAGCAGTTGCTGACCTATGCACGTTGATGTAAAAGTGTTTTATTATGTGGATTTTTTTTTAAATTAAGAGTTTTTGACGTGGCAAAATTTATTACTAATTGAACCAATGAATTTGTTCTTAATCAAACCTTTCTGAGACTCATCGAAGTCTGGTCAGACTCCCTCCACCACCCACTTCACTCGACTCACTCTCCAATGGACCTCGTTGGCGGAGCTTCGCCAACGCAAGTCATTAGCAGGCATACCATTGATTAGGTAATTAAAAAGATAAAAACCATTGAGCGAGTCCTCCTCATCGCATCTTCATCGTCGCCATTGCGGGTCGTTGTTGTTGCGCGAACACGAAACCCATGGGTCGCGCCTCTGTCGCTGTGCCGCATTGAATCGTTGACACTATACTACATCGAATGATCGCTATCGCTATGCCGCACCGAACGATCGCTGTCACTATGTCGCCATTTGTGAGAGAATGAAATTTGTCATGGTTGCGCAGTGCACCGAAGGAGAAGAAGAGCAGAAACAGAACGCGAAAACCAAAAATGGCGAGACCTGATGTGCGAACTACCACTGCCTGCGCCTTCACGACCTGAACCAGGAAGAAGAAGAAGCCTCTAGAGGTGGTTTCTCCACAACACAAGAGAAGAAGGAAACCAAAAAATTGGATTTTCCTTAAGGTTAAGGAGCATTAGGGTTTCAAATTGGGAATTTTACCAATTTAGATTTCAGATTTTAATTAGGGTTCTTGAAAGAGGTTTTCTGGAGGATTAAATTCCAGAAACATAATTGGGATTTTAATTTCCAATTTTATCATAAACATTAAAGTTTCCCGAATTGGATTTATCATTAATGCTAATTGGTTTGGGTTTCATATACTGGAGAACCAATTCAATCCACCAAGAAATCAAAAACAGAAAAAGGCACCACAAGAACCCACATAAAAAATTATGGGAAAAAGAAACATTTTGCGAGAACGAAATACAGAAGCTTTGGATCATTCATATGCATACAGACCTATATGCATGGTTCTGAAACTCAAACAGAACAGGTAAAACAGATCCTGATCAGCCTCAAACCATAAGGAATGGAATGGAAGATTCCAAAAGAAAAAACATGTAGTGATTTAAGAAATTCAACGGTTGTCCCAGAAGAGCATCATCTTCCTCCATTCATTCATCATTCGTCCCTGTATTTTTCTCCCTACAAAGCTGTCTGAAAAGCCTGGGTGAAAGGAGAGGGTCCAACACCACTAACAACAAGGGAAAATTTTTTAGGATATAATACCAGGTCACTGTAACAATAATATTTTTGGTAAGTGTTGGAGGAGGGATCGTGGGAAGTAGCCGCTATGTTTGTGGAGTTTATCGATTAGGGATGAGAGGGAGGAGAGGATGCGAGAGAGGTTACGGAGGTTAGGGTCGGAGGAGAAGATGGCGTGGGACTTGGCTTCGAGGTCGAAGAGCGTGTCAATGGCAGTGCTGGAATCTGTTGGGAGGAGAAAGGTGAAAGGATTGGTGTTCGTGTGAAGGGCTTTAGAAGCTTCTTTGACACCTTCAATTTTATCATATCATAATTCTTTAATTTAAATAAAATTTCTACATAATAAACAATACATGTCAGCATAAACACGTCAGCTATATTTAACGCCGTCTGAGAACACTTAACGGATTAGGGTAAAATTGGTTCATTTTTACAAAAAATATGATCCAAACAGTTGAAAAAATGAGGATCCAACTGAAATTACCATACAAAAATGAGCACCAATCGAGGGTTTAAACCATTTTTTAATATCTATATACTTTTTACTATTATTATATTTATTCTTATCTATTAGTATAAAACACATATAAATCTTTTTTATGATATATAAGAAGATAAAAGAAGACATAAACTAAATATTGTAAATGACAAGATCGAGAAGAAAACATCGAGATCTTATTTTTAAAAATTTATCCAAATTACAAAAGTACACTTTGTCTCATTTATTGAGAGGTCATGTTATATAATATTTTCAGAGATCATTCCTTATAGGGTGGGTTACATCACTTTTGACTAAGATTTCATTGTGTTACTATTTTTAGATTTCTTCTTATTTTCTTCTTATTTTCTAATCATTTTTGCATCCCGTCTTGTGTCCATTTTACTGTTGATGGGTAATTATCTCATAATTTTATAAATTTGTAATTCTACAATTTATAATTTATTTATATAATTTTATACTTTTATAATTTTATAATTTTTTTTTATAACTTTTAAATTTTATAATTTCATAATTTAATGATTTTATAATTATATAATTTCATAACTTCGTATTTTTTTAATTTTGAAATTTGTAATTTTATAATTTTAAAATTTTATAATTTTACATTTTTATAATTTTTTAGTTTTATAATTTTATGTAATTTTATAATTTTGTAATTTTTAATTTAATAAACTCGTCTTTATTTTTCTAACAATTTATATTTATTAATTACAAATTGAATAATTAAATTACATATAAATAGTAAAATATTTATAAAATATTATAATATCTATATTTAATTGAGTCTAAATCATTTTAAAAAGCTTAAAAATAAATAAAAGTAAAAAGAAATTAAAAATTGGTAACAACATTCTAAAATTTAATACATAATCTATTTTTCTTTCATCGTCATAGAAATCAAAATGAATTTGAAAATATTTTTGCTTAAGAAAATGACTGATAGATATTTCACGAGAAAAAACTATACTTTTATCTAAAGTAAATTTAATACTTTCATTTAAAATATAGAAAAACAATTTTTTTATTAGTATAAAATCGACACATGCATAACCTTTTTAGCACTTTCAATGGTATAGTAAGTCTATGAACACAGCCCTGATTCACTTTGTCAGTATCGTCTTGTTACCCTCACACACTCAAATAACATGAGCTTGGACGGCTTCCAGAAGGCTCTAGCGGACCTTCAGGCCCACTGCTCCAAGCTGCTCGGTAACCTCACCCATCTCCCATCTCACTGCAGCTCATTTCCAGCCCTTCACACCAGCCCGCCCTGGGCTCGGATAGCCCCAACGGGCCGGAGCAGGCCCATGTCGGTCGAGGCAATCGAGGAGCGCTTGGAGGGCATACCCGTTTACGCCCTCAGCAACGCTTCGGAGGAGTTTCTCTTGGTCTCGGGCTCTTCAACTGGAAAAAACCTTGGTCTCTTCTGCTTTAACAAGGACGATGCCGAAGCGCTCCTCAGCCAGGTCACGCTTATGGAACCTCACGCTCGCGCGGGCTCCAAAGTCGTCCCCATTGCGCTTAACAAGGTTCTCTATTCTTTTCACTCCGCTTATTTGTGTGATGTGCTTGTTTCTTCAGGTGTTTCTGCTTAAGGTGCGTTTGTTTCTTCAGGTGTTTCAGCTCAAGGTGAACGGCGTTGCGTTTAGATTGATACCGGAGTTTTCTCAAATACAGAATGCTCTCAAAGTGAGTCGTTTATTCGATATTGTTATTACCATTTGCAAATTGTTTGGGTGGATACGCGAACACCCACCTAAAACTCTGTAAAACATCTAAAACCTTTATATTACCATTAGTTCCAATAAAATGCAAGGCTTTTTAAATATTTGTGATGACAATGTGACCGGAAATGTCTGCAACCACGCTGCTGCAGATATGTGATTTTGCCCAATATCAAGAAATGGGACAGTAATTTAAAACCTTAGTTCTATTGTCTAAACGAGACCTGATTATTGAAATTTTTTTAATGGCTTATATCCTATGAAGCACAGATACATATAAATTATATCTCATTTGAAAATACATTGAGTCTGAAGATTGAAGAGAAGTATACCAAAATACACTGGTTCTTTCACAGAATTATGATTGATTATGATAATACAAAGATCTGAGCTAGATTCCTTAGTACTTTGCGTTCAATTTATGGTGACAAATCATCCTTGAGGGAAAAATTACTTTGTCGATAAAAAGTTCCTTAATAAATTTACTAAGATTATGGATTGGTTCTCACTAATTCCTAGAATTAGAGCTTGATGTTTCTGTTGTAAGACTCTTTTTTCAATTATATTGGTCTAGTTAGTCAATTTGATACATTTTTCTTAGAAAATTTTCTTGCATATTGAAAATTAGTTGATGTGAAGTCTTAAAAAGTGGGCTTGAGGCCTAATTCAAGCTCACTAACTGACTTGTAAGAATTTAGTCATATCTCTAATGTGATCTTTAACATCTTGTACATGGGAATAAAGATGTCCGATAGTGGGTGATACAATAAACCCAACAAACCTTGTTAGAATAAACTTTGATACAATTTTATAAAGTAGATTTTAAACTTAACTCAACGTGAGAAAATTAGCTTGTAAGATAAGATTTACACTCTCTTATATACTATAATTATGTTATGTTTGTAGTCAATGTGAGGTCTTAAACATGAAGTTTGAAAATTGCTTGTAATCCCTGTATAGTCAATCTATCTACCTTTCTATTGTTCATCGAGCTTTTAAGCAATGATAATGTATGCTTGTGCTTTATAGGAAAGGGAAAAATCTGGCTCTGCTTCTAGTGGCTTCTCTGGTGTTCCAGTTTTTCAGGTTTTTCTCTTAGCCTTTTAAGTCTAGACACGTCATTTGTTTCTTAATTCTGCTATTAAAAATTGAGTATTCAAGGAATGTGTCACAACATTTTAATACTGCATTAGTTTTAGGAGAAGGAAGGCTCACCCGATGTTTGAGGCTCCCACCTAGTTGGGTTTGGGGAAGGTTGATCCATGCAACCTTGTTCCCACAAGTGGTGAGGCTGTTTTTATGTTGGTTACCTGTTTATAAGGGAAACATCAACTTTACTAAATTGGGTGAACAATCAAGCACATGCAGGCAATCGTACAAAAAAAATAAAATAAAAGTAAACAATTTAGAACAAAACGGAAATGAAGTGATCTTATTTATTAGAAGTACATGATTATAATAATGAAAAGAAAATCCTTAAACAAGGGACAAAGTGGTTAAGTGTGAAGTTGTCTTAGCAATGTGTGTAACTTTTGTGTATATAGATTATACTTTTTATTTTATAGTGTTATTGTTTGGTTTCTGAGTATGAAACCTAGCCCAGAACACCCTCGCACACACCCAAACAAGTCAAGATCAAAGAATTGAAAGAATTCTATTATTCACAGTAATGGGTTCTTTCTACATTCAAGTTCTAGGGGCATAATCCCCTTCACAGGTCTCATGCGCCTGTCTAAACAATCAATGTCAAAACTGCCAACTCTAACCAAACAACAAACTATTTATACAATTCCCCCCTGCCCATCCTAATTGTTAAAACAGTTAGGATATTAATGCTAATTATTTTTCTTTCTCCTCTCATACTCTCCACTTCCTATCAAATATTGGTACAATAATAGTTTTCACCTGTTAGCACAATGTATCCCTTTTGAAGTGGTTTATGGTAGACCCCACCATCTTCGGTGAGATTTATTCTTGGAGAAATGCTTGTTGAGGCTATGGGCACAAGATCTTAGAGATAAAGCTAAAGCTTTAAAACAATTGAAGTTTCACTTATCAGGTGCTCAAGATCAGATGACCCAATATGCCAATGCACATAGGAAGTAATGGAAATTCAATTAGAAGTTTTGGGCAGCTGGGTGACCATCCAAGCTGGGAAGTCTAATATTTTCGAACCAATCTTCTATATCTTTATGCGACTAGTTTCTAATTTGAATCCATGAGACAATCTATGGGTTTACAATCAATTGTACCAATCTCTTTAACTGGGATTTTTGCAGCATCACTCCATGTAATAACTAAATCGTCAAAATACATTATCAAGTGCGCACACATTTTTTATGGGAGGTATGACAATAGAAAACATAATGCTCTGCTTCATTGCATTTCAGCCCAAAGGATTGAATAATGTGGCAAAACTTACGAAACCAAGTCTGTGAAGATTGCTTGAAACCATAGAGAGAGATGCAAAACTTACAAACCAAATCAAACTCCCCTTTAACAATAAACCTCGAAGGTTGCTTGATGTAGATTTCTTCCTTAAGTTCGTCATGCATAAAAGGATTCTTAATATCCAAGTGATGAAGAGGCTAGTGACGAATGATTTCTGTGGCAAGGAAAACTCTAACTATGGTCATTTTGGCACTAGAGAGAAAGTATCACTGTAGTCAAGCCCATAGATTTGAGTATAGCCTTCTGGTATCAATCGAGCTCTAAGGAAATCAATTTCATCATTAGATCCAACTTTAATGGAATAAACCCAACAACAACTATCTGTCTTCTTCTTAGATGGAAGAGGAACTAACTCTGATGTATCGTTTTGTTCTAGTGTTTGCATTTCAACAATCATGTCTTGTTGTCATCCAAGATGATCAAGCGCTTCTTTCACACTTTTAGGAATGGTAATAGAAGATACAAAAGAGATAAAAGAACAATAGGAAGGGGACAATGAATGATAGTTTAGAAAATTGTAAATAGGAGGAGGGTTGTGTGTAGAGCGAGTACCTTTACAAATGCAATAGGCCAACCCAACTCCTCAGTATTAGGAGTTCTTGTATGGAGCAATAATGGTGAAGCACTTGATGAAGAGGACTCATCATCTAGTATTGAACTAGTCATTTGAGTCAGGGATGATGACTTAGTAGAATTGGGTTGATGAGAGGAATTGTGATTATTGGGAGAAGTTGAAATGTGTTTGGAATTGGATACACAAAGGGATCAACTAAATGTATAAACAAAACCTATTAGACAAAAGATACTTGCTGGCATGTAGTATTTTTTAGTTTCAGGGCAATAATATTGATACCCTTTCTAAGAGCATAATATCCTAAGAAGACATGTTTGATTGCTCACGCTGAAATTTTTTCCAAACCTTGAGAACATCATGTACAGAACAATGGAAAAATGTGGTTTATTTGGAAACAACAGAATATGGAAATTGATTGTTCAAAGAAGAGGATATTCTATTAGTAAGATAACAAGAAGTAAGAATGGCATAACACCAATGATGGATAGGTAGATTGACATCAATCAATAAGGTATGAATAGTTTGGTTTAGGTGTATATTCTTTCTTTTTGTTATATCGTTTTGCTGTGGAGTTTGAAGACAAGTGGATGATGTAAAATACCATGTGAATTTAAAAGAGTAGAAAAATTAAAAGAAATATAATCTTTGGCATTATTACTCCTTAAGATCTTGGTCACTTAGCCAAACTGGTTTTTACTTTCATTAAGGAAAAACTCAAATATTCAAAAGTTTAGACATGTCTTTTATTAAGTAAACTCAAGTATAACGAGAATATGCATCAAAAGAGTGGCACATAATGAATCTCAAATGATATGACTCGACGTGGACTCCAAATGTTAGAATGAATTATAGACGAGATTGTTGCATCTTGTTTAAGTTTTGTATGGAATAGAAGACGGAACATGTTTTCTTAGTTGTTATGACTGTTAGGATATTTATCCTATTTTATCATCATTATAGTGTGTCAAGGGTTACCCTATTTATCATGATTATATTGTGTCTAGGATTACCCTATTTATCATGATTATATTGTGTCTAGGGTTACCCTATTTATCATGTATTTATTTTTATAAATAGAAGATTGTGAGAGGGATCAATCAAGCCCTCTAGAATTATTGAATTATTTTACAGTTTCAATTTTAAGATGGTATCAGAGCGGGTTGATCCCGCTCTGGTTTCTGTTTCGTAATATATATCTGTCCGGTGCCACAGGTC